GTCTGGTGCATCCAGTCTGGTGCATCCAGTCTTCAACACAACCTGTCTACTAGTAACTCAATATTGGCTCCGACTGACAGCATGAGCTCCTGTGACACACTGTAGCCACATAAGTATAACACAAGAGCCACACTTCTTCACTGTGATAAGCACTACCATACACTCATTAACATAAGTATTCAATAAATTAGACATACTTGAAACAATATACTTATATAATTATAATTCCTGCTCTGAAAATAATATTCATTCAGTGACGCTCACAGCTGGAACCACTGATGCTTACGCAACCCGTTCTTGTCCAATACCCGTCCAGCACCAGTGACCACTCGTACACCGCTCCACTAACCAGCTCTCATACAGTATAATACAATATTGTAATACAATAGCATAACAGCAATACAATCACATAAAACAAATAACATAGCACTATGAACTGAAGCCAGAAATATGGACAACTGTAATACATAACTAATTGAGGTGTAATGGCAGGTATAATATTTAATTTGAATAGTAAGAAACCAGGTAAATACCTGGGTCAAAAAAGAGACTCAATCATCATCTTATTGAGACACTGATTTATCACTACAACTTTTCCAATGCTTTCAACCTAATTGTTAAAAAATACAATTTAAGACTGAGCGATGTATATAATGGTGCAGCAAGAATAGAGTAAAAGGTCAACAGAGAAAGCATGGGGACTCCCAAATGGATATTTGGAATTATAAAAAGAATATTGCCATAAAAAAGGAGAGGGCTTACTGACGCATTTTGAGTTCCATTGAAATCGGATCTATATTGCACGAGCTGTGTGTTTTGAGTGACTTTGATCCGGGAAATTTTCCTAGAATCTATCGATATGATGATGTATGTGCGCACATTTTTGTTATAACTTCATGGTATGATTACTGTGTATTAGTCAATATTCAAATTGTGTTTCCAATCATTCTGCTGTTAAGACATCAAACTGAGCCAATATCTACCTCGCCGCTCTAATGGTAAACTTCACTTTCATATACAAGACAGTGTCAGACCACGGAGGAACACCTGAAAAAAGGAATTTCCTTAAGTACTTTTGTATTTTAATAATACATCTTCAGAATGAATGACCTTCTGAAGATGTATTATTAAAATACGAAAGAACTTTAGGAAATTCCTGTTTCAATTCTTCCTCCGTGGGCTGACACTGTCTCGTGTGTGTGTGTGTGTGTGTGTGTATATATATATATATAATATATATATCGAACCATTATTGTAATAACTTGGATAAGTTGTTTGAAATAAAATGTCTGGTTCTGAGTTCTATTTAAAAGAGATGTTTGTGGGAAGAGACAAAAAAAGCGGGTTGAAAACAAACATACACACCACACACACACACACACACACACACACACACACACACACACACACACACACACACACACACACACACACAGGTGGGAACTGAGTACCCACATGAGCCACAGGGACGTTAGAAGGAACTTTTTCAGTGTCAGAGTAGTTAGCGGATGGAATGCATTAGGCAGTGATGTGGTGGAGGCTGACTCCATACACAGTTTCGAATGTAGATATGATAGAGCCCAGTAGGCTCAGGAATCTTTACACCAGTTGATTGACAGTTGAGAGGCGGGACCAAAGAGCCAAAGCTCAACCCCCGCAAGCACAAATAGGTGAGTACAAATAGGTGAGTATACACACACACACACACCATCTTCGGTAAATCGAGTTAATTATATAATACTAGAAGGGGATCCCGGTCGTTCCCTGAATACTCTTTCTCCCACAATCCTTATTCCACCCATTTTCTTCCCCCTCTCCCCATACCCCCCTCTTCCTTCCTCTCCCCCATACCCCCCCCCCCATTTCTTCCCTCCTCTCTCTCTCTCGTTTCCAATCGCCCCTCCCCCTCCAATTTCCCCATCCCCCTCCCAATTCCCCCACCTCCCACTTCTCCCCCCCCTGCTCTCCCTTCCACGTCTCCCATTTACCCTCATCTTCACACCCTCTCACCCATCTCTCTATCTCCCCCTCCCCCTCTTTTCCCCTTATCTTCCCCGTCTTGGCTTCAACTTTTATATAGATGGAAATGTCTTTTCAGAGTACATACACCTTTGTCTCTGAAAATTTATTAAGTAGCACTAAAACAAATGTATGAGGACTCTGAACGTATATTACTATACACGTATAATGGAAAACACACCACATTTCACACTCGATTCCATGAAAATTGCATGGGCAATTTTAAATATATATGCTATTATTTCTTAAAGTATTTAGCTTGGGCTGGTCGGGGGTCGGCCTATGTCAGCCCCGTACCCAAGACCAATCCCCCTACAAAGTTGGGTGAAGCTAGCCCTAGGCGTTTGGCCTTTAACGGTCCATATTTGCTTACATTTCCATCGATATAGGTTCCATTATCTCTTAGGACAGGTGACCTCGCGTCATGCAGGTCAACGTTCGGTTCCCGATGATCTTAAGTGATAAAACACACTGCCACCCCCTCCGCCCTATCCCAGATCCTTGTCCACATATCCCTCACAAGTGCGATAAAGTCGTACTAACTATAAGTGCTTTCTCCTGCTAATTACGTTACCTAACCTTCTGCCTAATTCTAATGTGCCCTGCAATATCCTTTATATTACAATCAAATTGTCTTTGATCTTATTGTCTCCGGTGCAAATTCCCCTGTGGCACAGTG